GGCATGCTTAAAGTCTCTATATTGACAGGTTTTTTGAATGGGTCGGTTAGAAGAGGGATATATAGGGAGAGCGCATACTACTGTCTTATGGTCACTGCTTTCAAATTCATCGTATACTTTTACAGACAGTGGGATAATATCTCTACTAAATATTAGATCGAGTATACTATCACCTCTAGTTGGGGTACGAACCCACTTTGACCAACAGTGCATGTTAATGGTTGCCGAGAACTCCTCATTGCATGACTGACAGCTACCGGTACTCCAGTTAATCCCAGGATAATTGAAATCACCAGTGATAACCTTAGCATTAAAGTCTAGATCAGATGCATGTATGAATGCATTGATAATAAGATTATTCCCATTATTTGAGCTCTGTATATACATCCAAGGAGTAGACTATGATTCGGGGTGTTGACAGATATCCAGACTGATTCTAGCAAACTATTCAGGACACTATCCTCAACTTCATTAATTGTTAGGGTATCCAAAGCATATATAATACAACCACCTCCTCGCTTAGTTTCTCTGTCACAGCAATGGAGTCTATAGTTTTGGATATTTAATTCTGAATCAGATACTGCATGAGAGCATCATGCTTCAGTGATAAGTATGAAAGAAGGCTTGGATAGAAAGGCTAATGTTCTCAAGGCTGAAATTTTGTTCAGAAGTGAACGTGCATTGATAAGTAATAGATTTAGAAAGGGCGTATGGAGTGTAAAAAAACCGAGAGCTTCCCTATTGATGTCGTGTATTTTGGATTTGCATAGACTGTGGTTTATTATGTTTGACTGATCACATGGGCGATCGCTTGAGCAAATTGTAGTGCTAGTGGGACCAGGGATTTCTGAAGGCCAAAAAAATCATCATTTTGATAAAGCGAATTAATTTGTTGAACTTGACTAGGCGGACAGTTAAGACAAGGTTGGGTTGATGTTGGGTAACCTAGTAATCCATCTTGCCTAATAGGAAAGTGTTGAGAGAGGTTACGTCTTACGGGTTTATCATTTAAAACGTTTGAGGGTACTCGTGAGGCTCGTTGGTTTACTGTGGTCTGTCCAGTACTAGGCCTACTTACATAATAATTGAAGTGGCCGTTTTGTGAGACATTTGAACCAGGTCTGCCCTTATATCCTCCCCTACGATGCGTTGGGTAAAGCATGGTGTCGGGAAATATAGTCTTATTTGTATTTAGTAGGGTCATCGTAATACTTTTATTATTGGGTCTAGAACCAGAAGGTTCTGTACAAACATTCTTCTTACGTGGCATAGACTTTTTAATCATGACAGTGTTTTTAAGAACTGTCGCATTAGGACTAGGTATTTGCTTATGGGCTTCTAATGGTAAATTGGATACTATCGGATTAGTGTAATCAGTAGATGTACATTGGTTATCAGATGTCACTACAGGCATAATAGGTAAGTTAGCACTCTTCGTTGGCAGATCAGAGTACTGGAGAACATGAGATAGGGTATCAGTATCAGTGGATCCAGCAGCTGATGCGTCGTGATTTTTTATGATCTCAACATCTATATTTTCGTTCAGGGAACGTTTTTGCGTAAGTCTTTGATTGGTGGTCTTATCTGAGACTATGCGAGCGTTTCTAAACTTCGTAAGCGCGCATATCAGCCGCTCAGATTCTTTTAACTGTTCAGCTAATATATGAGAATCAAACCTGAACAAGACCGGGCACGAGTATTTCTGGTGCTTCTTAGTAAGTCGGATGCATTGGCATGGACTGTCTTGAAGGTTAGATGCTTTTAATATCGAATTCCTTACAGTTTTAATGGGGACTTTGTCAGGTATATTATAGACAATCACGTTATTACGAGAGACTATTCGCTTGGTAACTTCACTAGCGATAAAATCGATAACAGATTCTGCTTTTATAATGTCATCAAGTTCCGCAGGAACGATGTCTTTTGACAAAAGCAGTTTTAAGGGTGATAGTGTCTTTAGTTCTTGCTTAAGATCATCATGCTTTGATAAAGAGCTAGAAAGTGACTGAACTTTAGAACGCATGTCGCTTAGTTGCTTAAAGAGAGTGTTTAATTCACTCTTCATATCATCGATCCTTTTTGATCTTGAGGTGGAACTCATTACTAAATTAGAAACAGAGTCATCCAGCAGCACGTGTGGTGTAAGACCAGTCCCAACATTATCAGATACAAAAGGAGTAGCGGAGAAAGAAGAATAGGTAATAACAGAATTGTTAATATCTGAAGAGTTAAGACTTTTCCGTGCTCGTTTTTTTGACAGTCGACCCATATTGCTTAAAGTATGAATTCTAAAGCTATGTATGAGTTATAAACTAGGACTCAACGACATACAATCAATATATATTAGATTTATCTTAACGCAAACTTCAAACGTACCGCACATGGCAATTTATTTCAAACCAACTTAAGGTGAACAATCAAGTGTGAAGAATGACAAGTAATCAGCCCTCAAGATTCTGGCGTCTTATCTACTTATCTTTTCAAATTGACTCATCACCTATGGATGGATTAAATTTAAATTCACGGAATTGTTGAAACACTCTCCTTGTTCAACACAGGAGACTTACTCACAAATGTTACCCTTCATGAAGGAGCTTTGAGTGCTCATCAGGATTCTCCACCAAACTCTGTCGTGGTCAATTTTTTCCAGTTACTATACGGCCTTTTGACATTTGCTTCTAAATCCCTACTTAAGTGTGTTCCATTGTCCCCCTCTTTTCCTTTCTTCTTCAGAATTTCAAGTCAGGGCCTGCCTCGTGAGGAGGTCTGACAATTTCCGGAATGTATGCCCTATAAACCCCTAGCGTCGTTTTCTAATTTCCTCTTTAGCTAGAAGCTGGTTTATTCTCTCACACAATAAGTTGTTTTTGATGGTATCAGGCTAACGGACATTGAGTATCATGCGTAGACGATTCCTTAGAAATACTTGAGCATTCTTGGTGATAGTTAGGGTAGTTCACCGAGTCTCAGCTCCACGCAACGGAGCCGTATTGATGATCATATTGAAAACTCTGATTTCGATATTGGCTGACAGCTGCTTTGAATTCCGAATTGTCTTCGAGTGTAGGAATGGTACTGTTGTTTAGACAGTTTCCCCACATTGGCATCAGGTTCTCCCTGTTTATTGATGACTGACAAGCTCAACAGTACTGTATGATACGTGATTGTTTTTATGTTTCTTTTTTGCTATTGGCATCTTTATAGTGTTGTAGCGTTATAGCGTGGCGTCGATTAGTGGTTGACTATTATCACCACTACACTGGGACTACGTCCCAGTGATTAGGTTGGATCCCTTTGTTGGCCAAAAACCAAAAGGCAGTTGACGGTCGTAATAAGATATATTTGTTGGTAATCTCGTGGTATCGAAAGAATAACGAGATCGTGAAAAGAGTACAAGTGGAAATACTGAGCGTAACCGAGTGCGTGCGAGGTCACAATCAACAGAAGAATGTGTGTTTTTAGTACAGTTAAACAAACAAATTCAATAACACAATCACTGGTACAATTGGTCATAATAATAGTTGTTTTCATTACACCACTAGCGTTCTCTTGATAAAAGTAGGTCACTATAGTACTCTTGTGTTGCCCTTTAGAAACATAAACCTACTGTATGTCATGTTTTCTAAACCGTTCATGCACATTGTATAAATTGTCAAAAACTAGAAAAATTGGTTGTACAGCTTTCGGTTAGAAAGCACGAGTGTTTCAGATCGTTACTACATAAACCTACTGATATTAGAGAGTTTTTTGCTTCAACTGACCATCATTATGTTACTAGTTTAAAACTGAGAATTTACTAATGTTGTTGACAGTATTCTGTCTGTAAATAATATTAATATATTTCTGCATGAGCAGGTACACGCCATTTTTACAGCAGTGATCTACAAATGAACTGAAGTGAGTTGTGTCGCCACAGTGTTTTCATTAAAACCAAGAATGAGCACTTCATAAGAATCATGGTCGCCTGAATGTGTCATAAAGTAGATGATCATAACTCATTGAGTGTTGTTCTCATAGCAACCTAATTGTATGTTACTGTCAAAAGATCTGAACACTCACTCGTGCGTATTCTAGGACATTATGAAGACATCTACCGGTCTCCTATTACGTGTTCCACTTCAGGATGACACAACAGATCCACTTCATTTTTATGGATTTATCAACATCCGTTTCGACCCAAATGCCGAACAATTCACACCACTACTAAAGCTTATTTTCATCTGCGTTAATGTTGATCCGGAACGTACTAACAGCCAACACCGAAGATTTTTTGGCTGAACGCATCAAGCCGCACCTTTTTATTCACCAGGGGATTCTCTACACCACACTCTCTTCAGCCAAACCTAACATGAATCACATGATTAAGTTTAATGAGAATCTTATTCATTTAGATAACCTTACTTTGATTTAATGCTAACCAACCAAAATTATTGTTCATCTATGCGTCGTTTTGCTTTTTTGACTTAAGTTCACCAGAAGTTTACGTTTACTCAATAGGATTGCTGTTGTTTCTTTGTCGTTTTCTTTAAATACCAGAAGCGAATAAATGATCTGGTTTAGAGATTGCGAACCATATGGTTGTACTGACCTACTGAGTAATCACTTCCCCAGTGATCTGATGATGAAATAAGAAACTATGTGGAATCAAGAGAATGTTTACTAATAAATCAAGACGAAGAGGAATTACTAAACTTTCTTGGTTAATATTGTTAGAAGGATTCTGAAGAACCCAGAGTGAAAGAATTCCCGTTTGGAACCAGACTAAGAAAACGCACTAATCTTTCAAAGTCAAAATATTAAGGTTATTAAAAACTTCATTAACTTGCAATGAAGAACTGCAGCAGTCACTGAATCATAGTTAACACATATTGAATTAAAATACGACTGAACTCTCCCTGAGTTTTAGAAGCCATGAAGTTAAAAACCAAAATGAATCACCCGAGTAATCTTTCTATGTCATGAATATCGTAAGTAGTAAACAATATACATATGGAGAAAACAGCTGAGTGAAAATTGTTTCTTTAACAACCGTAAAAAATCAACATATGCGTTACGATATCCTTGATGGCTGGTACTAATCGTTCAGTAAACTGTTCAACTGCATTACAACGATTGAAACAAGACTATCTAAGGCTTTCAAAGGACCCAGTTCCTTATGTAACTGCAGAGCCACTTCCAACTAACTTGTTTGAGTGGCATTATGTCATTAAAGGACCCGCTGATTCACCTTATAAAGGAGGTTATTACCATGGGAAACTTGTTTTTCCGAGAGATTTTCCATTTCGACCTCCTTCAATATATATGATAACACCAAACGGTAGATTCGCATGTAACACGAGGTGGGGAATGTTATGATGTATCTGATTTCTCTTTTAGACTGTGTCTATCAATAAGTGATTTTCATCCCGACACATGGAATCCTGCATGGTCTGTCTCGTCCATACTAACGGGCTTACTGAGTTTTATGCTGGAGAATACGTGTACCATGGGTAGTGTTGTGACTTCAACAAGCACTAAAAAGCAACTAGCTAGAAGCAGTGGAGATTTTAACCTGAAGTCTGAAATTTTCTGTGAATTATTCCCTGGAATTGTTAAAGTAAGAGTAAACGCCAGTCTTTGTGGTGTTTTGGTTAGCATTCATATGCACTGATATCTACATAAGTAACCAGTGAGCAGAATTTTATTCGCCTCCACTTTTTTGTGTTAACTCACAGGACCGATTCACTTCAAATGTAGGAGGATCAAATAGTAATAGCCAAAGCAAGGAAAATTTCAGGATACAAACTTAGCGTCATTTGGCGTCCCCAAATTGATAGAAGGGTGAGACTATAATATATGAAAAACCTTTAAGCGACTCTAACAAGACCTTGCGAATGTCCACAGAGCTAAATAAGGGTAATCAACCAGTGCGAGTAATTATGATTAATGTCTACAGTTAATAGTTAGAGTTAAGAATTAGATTAAAGGTTTTCATCACTAACTGACTATAGCTATAATGCCAAGTGAATGAATTGACTTCGTACGAAAATTCAAGACCTGTTTTCGTAAATCTGGTTGGTTCGTCCACAAATTTTAGTCTCGCCAATCGAAGAGTATATGAGATTGAATTAATCGAATTTAGTGAATCATTTATTCGTCAACTCTGTTTGCAAATTGTGATCATTTCCTGTGACTTATGCTTTTTAAGAACAGACATAACAAATAAACTCAAAACGAAAACAATGACATGCTTATCCGTCAAATTGTAGACAATACGTCTTCGAGTGCTAATATTTTGACAACCTACGTGTTTAGTGCAATCGAAAATGGTTAAGTCATACTTTACTGACCAGCATTAATAACTCTTACAATGACATTGACATCAAAGACCTTTGACTCCTAAGTCGAAAAATCACAGACTATTTTCTAATCCTCAAAGTTTTTCATTTTCAACCATGATGGAATCTGACACTTATTTAAAATTACGTGACATGCCAAATTTCTTAGAGTTTAATAAATGTCCGAAATCATGTTTACATTCTGCCTTATTCATTTTTCTAGAGAATCTATTATCTAAAAGAAGTAGCTATTGGATCTCTATTTCCACTGATTGCAGGGGATTTATTCATGCATTCTTTCTAAACGGATGGAGTCACAGAATGTACGATTCCACCGGAAATCTGTCCACTGTATGTAGATGAAAACTTTGTTGCGATTGAGCAAGACTGATTAGAACTATTCAACGAGGTAGACAATACATCAGTTAGTATTAAGCTTGCCAAAGAGATCCCAACTATTTAATTTAAAAAACACAATGATAACTCTGATCATTATTTTCCGAAAATCGACACCCTCAGAAATTTCTAGATTATAAGCCTTCATACGCTTTTTCTAGAGGTCATTGTTAATAAAGGGAACGAGTCGAGCGAATAAATTTCTTCCTAATTAGTTTTTCATTACGACTCTACACTAATATACATATGTAAGATTTACAACAATGAAATAATACTCATCGAGTACTTACGTTACGCGATAGTTATATAATGGCATATTGATTACAAAATGATATTGAGCAATTGGAAGAAAGAGGAATATAATAAAAGTAATTATTCGAAAATCAAGCAATTGATACGTTGCATAATTTATAAAAAAGAGGGAACTAATAAAACATTTTGATAGGTCAGTATTATGATAGTTATATAGAAGTCAAGGGATGAATGTTGAGAGTATTATCATAGTTTTGCTACCAACTCACCCCTATACCGATGGCAAAGGTAACGAGAGCGGTTGTACAAACTTCTTTTTGATGCAAATGTTTGATTTGTGAACATGGTTTTTGATGGCTTCAGCAATGTGCAAAAGATGAACTCGTAAGCCATGCAGCAAATTCGATGGAATATGGTGGGTAACCTCAGAAGTTATATCCAATCCAACTTGGTGACCTGTGTCCACCAGGTGAGCGAGAATAGAACTCTTAATCGCTATTACCTGTCCTTTGCTCAACCAAGACGAATGGTGTTCTGTGTGATGACACTTGCCGAATTGTACGCCCTATATAACTGGCTCCACAGGAGCAGTTGAATTGGTAAATACACATGGATGTGGCGGATTTAAACAATCTGTCTTTATTATTTGTTCTTATTATGGGGCGGTTGTAGAAAACAACACTGCCTGCATTAAATGTTTCTGTACCTCCTAACTTGACCTTTGAGTTACAATTTCTTCGGTAGTATCATTTAAGAATTTTAGTTTTAAGAATAGTACTTTCTTTGGAATGTTAGGTACCCTTGTTCTTCTTTTTATCTCCTTCATGTGTTTATTTATGAATTTCGTTGGGTGTCCATTCCTACTAATCAGGTTGCCAATATTGATCAATTCATTTACAATGGTGTTACCCGAGCAAATCATTCTAGCACGATAAGTCAGGATCATTGTTAAGTTTCTTTTGTATCTGATTGGCACAGCACTATAGAAATGAATGTATTGTCCAGCTGTAGACTTTATATGTATCCCTCTTTTCAACGTTCCATCTGATCTTTTAGCTAGCTGAACATCTGGAAACGTTATGCTATTATTCTGTTCTTCCTTTATTGTAAAAGTAATCGATGGATAAATGTTAAATGCTCATTTCCATGTATTTTTCTGATACTATGAAAGTATCTTAGGGGGCCACACCCTGAGCCTTCGACCTGAACGTCTGACCCACAAGGCAGTGGAGCATCGTGAGGAGATGCAGTCCCATGGTAGCCGGTGACCAACGATTGGTTCATACGCCATTTGTTCCTTGAGGATACTGGAGCCCATGTACATCATTGGTTTGGGGTCTGGTTAAAGCGCCGGTAATTCGCTTTTCGTCCTCTCATTTTCGTAAACAACACCCCTGCCACAAAAAGGCAGTGAGTAGGACTTCCCTGGAAGAGGCTATATACGCGTGGCCATGTGAGAGCATTTCGAGAGGGAGAGCGGACTCTCCCCACTCTCAGCCGTACCAGGGCATTTGGGGGCCCGTTTAAAAAGAATGCATGAATAAATCCCCTGCAATCAGTGGAAATAGAGATCCAATAGCTACTTCTTTTAGATAATAGATTCTCTAGAAAAATGAATAAGGCAGAATGTAAACATGATTTCGGACATTTATTAAACTCTAAGAAATTTGGCATGTCACGTAATTTTAAATAAGTGTCAGATTCCATCATGGTTGAAAATGAAAAACGTGGAGTAATAAAAATTTTTTCTATCGCGATATGTGCACGACTCACTGTAGGGAGATTTCATCTGGATTAAGTAGACCATCTACCTGCTGCCGAATCAATGTATTAGAAACAGCTAAAGCAAAAGCCAGTCCTCAAATAGATTGTTAAGAATATGTTGGTTATCTCAGAACCCATAGTTTAATTCAAGAGTTTAGTTTATTTTCAGGATGAAAGATAATTCTAATTTTACCAATCAGAAGTCGCCAAATGTTATGTCCAATTTATGCAATCCAATCATAAGTATATGCTATTGGATAGAAATGGTTTTGTTTTCTATAGAGTACATATATTTTTAAAATTGGTTACGCAATTGAGTCAGTTAAGCCCAATAAACCTTATTCTTCACTCTTAGTCGTCCCACTTAGCTAGCTTAGGGCTTAAAAATAGAAAGTTTGTGCATCAGTATCGAACACCGTGAACATCACATTAGCCTGATTTAAGAAATAACACGAACTAACTAAAAATGCCACAGGTGTTTGGAGTTTGACAACGCCTCTACACCTGACACCATCATGATCGGAGTACACCAAACCCGGTCAAGTCAGAAATGAAGTGGTTCTAGTAAAACTAATGCGGTCGCATTAATGTCGAAGACTGACAGAATTCTTTGTTTTGGGGACTTATTTACCGCTACAGATTTCTCATAAAATTTCGTGCAAACTTTCTCTTGGTCAGAATAACAAAGATATGGGCTCCTTACCAAAGACGATCGTAAAGACACATCCTTCAGAGTTTTTCAAAAGAGCTCGATGTTTACCTAAACTCTGTAAACCCTGAAGTTAATTGACTCAAATATTACCTTATGATTACTTCTGATACAAATTACTGACTTGTGTTACCCTTCAGTTTGAAACTGAGCATAGCGTAGACGGTACGTTTCTATAACCAGAAATGCTCTCTTACTATTCAGACTCAGATCCCAAGTAACAAATAGTACACTGACTCAACCAAACATAGTTTGTCATTTGAAGCCGTAACAGAGTTGTGGGGAGGGGGTTTCGAGAAGTCAGGGTGCAGTTGACGCTACCAACTTCTACCTTTGATTATCAGATTGTCTGATTATCACGCTTTTATCATTTTTAATTGTTTTTGATTGCTTCCATTGCTAGACGTAAGTGCATTCTATGTACCTACTGAGTCTTTTTGGCTTACTTTTCTTCATGTCCTCTCATCCAGATTCTCATACTGCTCCTCACATTGTCCAATCTCAATACGTACCCTCAGGCTAGTCGAAAACCTATCAAGGACTGAAGATAACACTTGTTTGCAAAGATGTATTGGCGACGTACTTACAAGGGAAAGAGCTGAGTCGTAGTACCATTTTATGGAATGAACAAAATTCAGTTACTTTCGATGTAGGGCCAGGAGCTATGGTTAGGAATTAACATTAAAGATGATCATAACTCATTGAGTGTTGTTCTCATAGCAACCTAATTGTATGTTACTGTCAAAAGATCTGAACACTCACTCGTGCGTATTCTAGGACATTATGAAGACATCTACCGGTCTCCTATTACGTGTTCCACTTCAGGATGACACAACAGATCCACTTCATTTTTATGGATTTATCAACATCCGTTTCGACCCAAATGCCGAACAATTCACACCACTACTAAAGCTTATTTTCATCTGCGTTAATGTTGATCCGGAACGTACTAACAGCCAACACCGAAGATTTTTTGGCTGAACGCATCAAGCCGCACCTTTTTATTCACCAGGGGATTCTCTACACCACACTCTCTTCAGCCAAACCTAACATGAATCACATGATTAAGTTTAATGAGAATCTTATTCATTTAGATAACCTTACTTTGATTTAATGCTAACCAACCAAAATTATTGTTCATCTATGCGTCGTTTTGCT